TCTTCTTTGATTCTTTCGGTAAAGTCACGTAGAATGAGAATAAAATAGAATGAGAATAAAAAATAATACATTGATTATTGTGTCATTTTATTTTATCAATTTATTATTTTATTCTCATTCTACGTGACTTTACCGAAAGAACCAAAGAAGAAAAAGACAAATAGTTCACTACTTTAGCCCACCGGTGTGTTGAAGAGTGAATCCACAACATTTACAGTTTGAGTACGACGTTTCGCTGGTAATTACATCCAGCATCATCGGACAATTCACCAGAATGGTAAAGCCCTCCCTTGCTCCCGGTCTTAAATAGAGCAGCAGGGTGACGTCATCATTTAACTCATTTCAGGTGCAGTGATTTGAGGCAGTTATTGTAATTATATAATCGATTGGTAATCAGTCAATGGTTATGATTAGTAATGAGTTCTAGATTAGTAATTAGTTGTAATGTGTGTTATTGTGATTATATGCTACGTTAGTAATCCGTTAATTAGTATGTGTTTTCCCTATAAGCAATTGTAATATGTATTATTTAATAATACCCTTCCAAGCCGCACTAAGCCTGTAGCTGTCAGAGCGATTAAAGTTATTTCTATTCCTCTCAATTTCAATGGATTTTCTAATTAGTCTTTGCCAGTAATAATTCGTTTTACACAACACTTCAACGTTATCAAAATCAATTGAGTGTCCTTGTTGACAAGCATGTTCTGCCACTGCCAACAGTTGTGTTTGAGATCATTTAATATTTCTTTGGTGTTCTTTTCGTCTTATGCTGATGTTACGTCCCGTCTGTCCAATATAGCATCTGCCACATAAACAATTGATCCGATATACACCTTCTGTTGATAATTTAGGTAATGCGTCTTTAGTGCAAGATACTAGTTTTTTAATTTTGTGTTCTGTACCAAATCTTACTGTAATGTTTTGCTTTTGCAAAACACGGGCTAATTTGTCAGTTACTCCTGAGATATATGGAATTTTTATTGTTTTAACAATCTGATCGCTTTCAGCAGTATTGCTTTGCGATCGTGATTTGGCATTCAGTGCTCTGTTAATTTGAGCATTATTGTAGCCATTCTGTCGTAGTGCTTCTTTAACGTGTTTGATCTCTCTCACTAGACTTTCACCATCTGACACTGGCTTAGCCCGATGTATGAGCGTCTTGATAAGAGAGGATTTCTGAGCTGGATGATGATGCGAATCTGCATTCAGATAGGCATCAGTGTGCGTTTGCTTTCTGTAAACGCTGTGTTATTTTACCGTTCAGGCCATGTCCAAGCAAAATATCTAGGAACGGGAGTGTGTTATTCACCTCCATTTCCATGGTGAACTGGATGGCCGGGTTTTGTGCATTGAGATTATTTATAAAATCATTAAGTGTATCACTAAGGTTCCAGTGAACGAATCGCTTAAATTACTTGATACACTAGTAAAGAATACAGGTTTACCAAAAGATATTCCGAAACTTGCTGACCACTGTTTAAATAACACTTACTTTTTGATTTCAAGCTTTCGTGACTGCAGTAATTCATATTCTTAGCTCTTTCGGTAAAGTCACGTTGAAGGGAAACAATAAAATAATAAAAAATATATTTTATTAGCAGCAATGGGCTCTCCTTTATCCCCTGCTATAGTAAATTTGTACATGGAAAACTTTGAAATAAGAGCACTTGTCTCGAGCACATTAAAACCATCTTTTTGTTTTAGATATGTGGATGACACTTTGGTTGTCTGGCCACATGGTAAAGATACACTTAATGATTTTATAAATCATCTCAATGCACAAAACCCGGCCATCCAGTTCACCATGGAAATGGAGGTGAATAACACTCCCGTTCCTAGATATTTTGCTTGGACATGGCCTAAACGGTAAAATAACACACAGCGTTTACAGAAAGCAAACACACACTGATGCCTATCTGAATGCAGATTCGCATCATCATCCAGCTCAGAAATCCTCTCTTATCAAGACGCTCATACATCGGGCTAAAACAGTGTCAGATGGTGAAAGTCTAGTGAGAGAGATCAAACACGTTAAAGAAGCACTACGACAGAATGGCTACAATAATGCTCAAATTAACAGAGGACTGAATGCCAAATCACGATCGCAAAGCAATACTGCTGAAAGCGATTAGATTGTTAAAACAATAAAAATTTCATATATCTCAGGAGTAACTGACAAATTAGCCCGTGTTTTTCAAAAGCAAAACATTACAGTAAGATTTGGTACAGTACACAAAATTCAAAAACTAGTATCTTGCACTAAAGACGCATTACCTAAATTATCAACAGAAGGTGTATATCGGATTGTTTATGTGGCAGATGCTATATTGGACAGACGGGACGTAACATCAGCATAAGACTAAAATAACATCAAAGAAATATTAAATTATATCAAACACAACTGTCGGCAGTGGCAGAACATGCATGTCAACAAGGACACTCAATTGATTTTGATAACGTTGAAGTGTTGTGTAAAACTAATTATTACTGGCAAAGACTAATTAGAGAATCCATTGAAATTGAGAGTAATAGAAATAACATTAATCGCTCTGACAGCTACAGGCTTAGTGCGGCTTGGAAGCGTATTATTAAATAATACATATTACAATTCCTTATAGGGGAAACACATACTAATTAACGGATTACTAACGTAGCATATAATCACAATAACACACATTACAACTTATTACTAATCTACAACTCATTACTAATCTTAACTATTGACTGATTACCAATCGATTATATAATTACAATAACCCCCCCTCCGCCTCAAATCACTGCACCTGAAATGAGTTAAATGATGACGCCACCCTGCTGCTCTATTTAAGAGCGGGAGCAAGCGAAGGCTTTACCATTCTGGCGAATTGCCCGATGATGCTGGATGTAATTACCAGCGAAACGTCGTACTCAAACTGTAAATGTTGTGGATTCACTCTTCAAAACACACCGGTGGGCTAAAGTAGTGAATTATTTGTCTTTTGTCAACGTGACACTTTTTAGCTGATTCGCCGTGTTGGGTGGTGGAGGGTTACGACACATTTATAAATAACGCGATCTAACCGAAAAACCTTTTTGGGAAACAATAAAATAATAAAAATATAAAACAATAAAATTCTCACGACGTTTCGACTGCAACACAAGCAATCATCATCAGGTGTGAAAACCACAGCAAGAAAATTTGAAAAAAGTGGCGGTTTTTTTGACGTTAGCACCACGGATAGCGATTTGACAGTTTGTTCAGATGGACGAGTCCATCTATGTTCGGAAAAGAGGAGGGAGACGAAAAATAATGGATAAGGTTGTTTTATATTTTTATTATTTCATTGTTTCCCTTCTACGTGACTTTACCAAAAGAGCCAAGAATATGAATCCCTGCAGTCACGAAAGCTTTAAATCAAAATTTAATCAATTATGTTAATAAGGTGAGCCCTTGTCGAGTAATGGGGAGTGGCTGTTTAACCCGTCGCAATGAACACGGGACGGTTTTTGTATAAATTATGTTAAGACAGGGCTAGTGACTTGGTGTAGCTTTGGCCAAATATGGATTTTACTGGAACGGAAATAAGCAGTGACTTACAAGACATGACGTCACGCTAAAGAGCGCGGAGGGATGTTGGGGGCGACATGACGTCACTAGCGGGGTACACCTCGTCCCCACGTCTCACGCCGATGAGGTAATGTGGAGTGGTGACATCGCAGAGCGAGAGCAAGGTTAGAGTTGTAGTTTATTTAGATTCCTTTTCCATTGCTCCCTCTCTTGAGTGCGTGAGCTCAACAACGTGAACATTATTGTGTATACAGTGTGTGTGCGTGTACAATAAATGTCTGCACTGAGTATGTGCGTACACTGTGGGTGGTCCGAATCAGTCGGGCGGCATTATCTTATCATCAGCTGCGCAATGCTGAGTGGAAGCTACCTGGTCTGTCGCTCCGCACGGACCTTCGGGTCTTCTCGGCCACAGTCATGCCCTCCCTTCTACAGGCATGTGAAACGTAGACCCCTCTAAATGGAACATCTGCGCCAGTTAGAAACATTCAGGCTGGCATGCCAACACTCAGATTGAGGAAAGCCAAGTGGTAGCGCATTCTCTTTTTATTGCAGAGATTCAAGGTTCAAATCCGACAGGCACCCCTGGCTACTCCAGGAACATTAACCAAAATTTGCACCATCTGCTGAACAGTGGATGTAAAACATACTATTGTGTCATTCAAAACGCATAGGTCATTGCATGTCGTTGTCATGGTCAAGATTTGGGTAATTCCAAACATTATCCAGAAATTACACAATGGAGATTACACGTCAATTATCGCACCCTACTGAGGGAATTAAGCAAGCACCTTATGAATGCAATCATTATAACATGTGAAAGCTTGGGAGCTTATTGGCTCTCGCACCTGGTTAGACATCTACCCAACCCACAGGTCCACAAATACTGGCCGCTCTTAGGCTGCAGGTTGAACCTAAGAATTGAGTGTTCAACTTCACAATCTTTTCATTAAAGGCCTGTGACAAAGGTGAATCTATTGGGGTTTCATTGTCTCAAGCTTAAACATCTACCACGTCTCCACTTGACTTTGTATTGTCTAAAAAGTCCAGCCACACCTCCACTTCCACAAACTGCTGGGAGTTGCTTCGCTCTGCCTCAGAGTCAGAATTCTCCTGCTTTACGTTGCCTCCATCGATGTGAAGGTCAGATTTTGGAGTTGAATCTTCATATTTAACCTTTACTTCGTCGATCTTCACCATCATTGATTCACATTTCACCATTGTTTCACATTTAACCTTCACCTCTTCACATTTCACCTTAATACCTTTCAAAGTGTCCAAGCTGGGATTTCCTTCTGGTTTTTGTTTCACGAGGGATGGGCTCATTGCAGCACTTTGACTTTCACAAGCAGATTTCAGACTCCACTCTTTGTGGATCTTCTGATGCCTGTCTGTTCGTTGGTGTGTTACAAGATGTGCTGACTGTGTAAATGACTTCCGACACACAGTGCACTTGAATGGTTTCTCTCCTATGTGTGTTCTCTGGTGTGTTTTAAGAGTCGATGAATCTGAAAATGCCTTCCCACACACACTGCACTTGAAGGGTTTATCTCCTGTGTGTGTTCTCTGGTGTGTTATAAGATGTGGTGACTGTGCAAACGCCTTCCCACACACAGTGCATTTGAATGGTTTCTCTCCTGTGTGTGTTCTCTGGTGTGTTTTAAGAGTAGATGAATCTGAAAATGCCTTCCCACACACATTGCACTTGAAGGGTTTCTCTCCTGTATGTGTTCTCTTGTGTTTTTTAAGATGTGATGACTCTGCAAATGCCTTCCCACACAGAGTGCACCTGAAGGGTTTCTTTCCCGTGTGTGTTCTTTGGTGGCTCTGCAGAACTGATGACCGTGCAAATGTCTTCTCACACACAGTGCACTTGAAGGGTTTCTCTCCTGTGTGTATTCTCTGGTGGCTCTGAAGAACTGATGACCCTGCAAATGTCTTCTCACACACAGTGCACTTGAATGGTTTCTCTCCTGTGTGTGTTCTCTTGTGTGTTTTAAGAGTAGAGGAATCTAAAAATTCCTTCCCACACACACAGCACTTGAAGGGTTTCTCTCCTGTGTGAATTCTCTGGTGTTGTATCAAGCTTCCAGTACGATCCGTGCTGTTTGCATACTGGTCACATTGTTGCCTTTTTGTAGCGAGCTGCGCTGAATGACTTTGCTCCATCAGACCAATTCTGCAGAGGAAGCATCAGAGGAACGTCAGCTGCAGACAATTTTTTTTTCATAACATCTATGTCAGTATCGAGGCACAGAGGAATGCATATATACACATTTACACATGACTTACACGTCTATACTTATTCATATATTCATGATATAGTGAAAAAGATTTCCCAATTCATCACACGGGCTGTTAAGGCACACACCGATAAGGGAAATCTTTATTTGAAGCTTTTGTGACTGCAGGAATGCATACTCTTTGGTTCTTTCGGTAAAGTCACGTAGATAGAAAACACAAGCAACCGCCATCAGGTGAAACAAACACAGCAGAAGAACTGCTGACATAGGAGATAGAGCTGCTGCAACAAAAGTTCATGTAGGATTTTGGTGGGGTCAACCCAAGGGTAAGTGGGCGGAGCTAGAGAAGGAATTTGTACGTAAATGTAAAAGATTAGCATGTGAATGTGAGACTGCTCCAGCAACTGGGGGTTGTGCCAATGAGAAGATTAGCATGTCAATGTCAGAGAGCCGGGCAACAGGAACAAAAAACCCACAAGAGCAAGATATACACATGGAGAGAGAGACACACATGGAGAGAGAGACACACACAGAGAGACACCGAGAGAGAGACACACACATAGGGAGACAACCCCCACACAGAGAGAGACACAAAGAAGAGAGACATGCGCAGAGAAACAAAGAGATATACACACAGAGACACACAGAGACAAACAGTTTGTCTCTCTGTATCTCTCTTTCTCTCTCTGTGTCTCTGTGTGTGTCTCTCTCGCTGAGGAGAAGCTTGCGGAGCCGCAATGCGGTTTCAGGAAAGGGCGGTCCTGCACAGATGCCATATTTTCTGTCCATCTGCTACAGCAGAGGTGTAGGGAATTCCAACAAGGCCTATGATACCATCAGTAGGCCTGGCCTCTGGGTTGTTCTTCGTGCCTGACCCTCTGCTCACGATCATTAAGGACCTTCATGATGGTGAGCGGGCCCGGGTAAAGCTACGTGGCAAGGAGCCAGAGCCATTCCCTGTACACATTGGATTGCGACAGGGATGTCCTCTGGCTCCCACATTATTTAACATCTATTTTGACCACGTAGTTTGTGAAGCCTTCAAAAGCTGCACCGGAGGAATTTCCATCTGGTACAGATACAATGGGAGGCTGATCGATGCCCGGGTGCGGTCAAGGGATGGCTCCCTATTGTTCAACCACGTTTTGTATGCCGAAGATCTGGAAATTGCTGCTCGCTCAGAGGAGGAGTTGGAGGTGCTGCTGCTGAACCTGGAGCTTGCCACCAAGAGGTGGGGCCTTACCATCAGCCCCACCAAAACTAAGCACCTGCCTGGGTATTTTGTACCATCAGACACTCCACCCCCACAACTCTCATTTGGTGATAGAGCAGTTGTGGAGTGGAGAGTTTCCCATACCTTGGCAGTGTGCTCATGACCGGCTCTGGTTTAACAGCAGAGGTCTCACTCCGAATCAGTCGAGCGGCATTATCTTTTCACCGGTTGCGTAATACTGTGTGGACGCTACCTGGTCTCTCGCTCCACACGAAGCTTCGGGTCTTCTCGGCCACAGTCATTCCCTCTCTTCTCTATGCTTGTGAAACGTGGACCCCCTTAAATGGAACATCTTTGCCGGTTAGAAACATTTAAGCTGGCCTGCCTACGATCCATCCTGGGTTTAATCAGGCTGGATTGTATGAGGGGCTCACAAATCCTTGAAAGTTCTGGACAAAGTCCCATCGGTGAGCTCCTCCGGCAGGCAAGGCTCCGTTGGCTGGGTCATGTAGCCTGCATGCCCAGCCACCGCATGCCTAAACAGCTATTGTGCGGCCGGATCGAGGGGGCAGGGTGGGCGTGGTACGGCCTGGAGAAGAGATGGAGTGATATGGTACAGGAGGATGTGGAGCTGAGTGGACATGCCGATGACTGGTACCAGTGGTGTCAAGATCGGCCTCTGTGGAGGAGGCTCGAAAAGGACGCTACTGGGCAGTTAGAGGCAGTCGCCCTCCAACAACAACGGAGGGCGGAAGAGCGACGCTCACAACAACAAGCGGATCGCCGGGTGGCTAAAGCACAGCAAGTTGGCAGTAGGGGGCACAGATGGTGCATCAGCCAGTCGTCTCAGTCAGTCGACCTGTGGCATCTGCGTCTGCTCTGTGACTTTCTGCCAGCGGGCGTTCGACACTTCACATGGCCTCAAGGTGCACATAGCCTGGCACAAGTGACGTGGTGACGTCACCGCCACTTAGTGGCAAATGGCGGTTGTTGTTGACTCTCTGTGTGTCTATCTATGTGTCTTTCTCTCTGTGTGTCTCTCTGGGTGTGTCTCTCTCTCTCTGTGTCTCTCTCTATGTGCTTGTGTCTCTCTGTATGTGTCTGTTTCATACTCGCTTTGGGTCTCTGTGTCTCTCTCTCTGTGTCTGTGTCTCTCTAGGTTGTGTCTCTCTTTCTGTGTGTGTGTCTCTCTCTGTGGTTGTCTCTGTGTGTGTCTCTCTCTCTCTGTGGTTGTCTCTCTGTGTGTCTGTGTGTGTGTCTCTCTATGTGGATGTCCCTCTCTGTTTATGGGTTGTCCGTCTGTGTGTGTCACTCTCTGAGTGTCTTTCTCTCTGTGTGTCTCTCTCTCCCCATGTGTATCTCTTGCTCTTGCGGGCTCTTTTGGGCCAATTGCTCAGCTCTCTGACATTGACATGCTAATCTTCTCATTGGCACAACCCCGGTTGCTGGAGCAGTCTCACATTGACATGCTAATCTCTTAGATCTTACCTATAAAAGGCATTCTTTGTCTGTCTGTCCCTCTGTCCCTCTGCGTACGCACGCTTGCAAGGGATTTGGTTCTCGGACGGTGGGGTTTAAACCGAAAAAAAATAGCCGGGCTGCACGTCCAGAGCCCCCTGCTTAGCACAGGCTATTCCGTTTTCTCATCCGTCACCTTTAAAGTGATTAAAATCGCATTTTTGTGCGATCTTTATTTATTTAATTACTTTCCCCGCCCAAGCTGCAGGGGGGTTGCCCCTGGCAACGCACGTACGTCATCGGTGGAGGGTGGGGGGGAATTTCTCATTTCCGTTCAAAATGCACACAAATTTACACGCGACGCTGAGGTAAATTCATCACGGTCGGTAGATACTAAAATTATAGCGCTTATACAGGACGAGGGGGCGGGTGGCCAGTACCACGTCCCCCCAGTGGCGATGAGAAGTGGAACTGACTGTACAATTAAAAGGCAGCTAACGTTTGACTTGTTTATAACATCTTTCCAGTGGTTGCTCAATTTGAAACCATCCTCTCGGTTGAAGTTGTGTCTATGTTTGTATATCGGATGACCTAACTCAGCCCTCCCACCCACCCACGTCCCTTTCTGGCTCCCCCCCCCGACCTATATATATAATCCAAGTTGTCTCGGAACTGGGCACTTGACACATATTCTGCTGTGACTCTTCCACCTGAAGACGGAAGCTTGTGTTGCCTCCGAAACGTCGTGATTTAATTGTTCTATTTTATTTTACCTACGTGACTTTACCGAAAAAACCAAACCATAACATAGATTAACCATGTTTTCTAAATCACCAAAATAAAGCTTTAAAAACAATGTAACAACAGTAATCATAGGAACTGTGATTCTCATTTAACAATAAACGAAGTATATAACATGTACAACCAAACTTGCAGCCAAAGCTGACAGCATGACACTCCAAGTGTATGATGTGTGAGTGAGTCAGTGGTAGTGTGAGTGTATGATGTGTGAGTCATCATATGATGCGTGTATGATGACTGAATTAGTGTATGATTAGTGAATGGGTCAGTGGTTGTTTGAGTGTATGATGTGTGAGTCAGCGTACGATGAGTGAGTTAGCGTATGATGAGTGTATGATGTGTGAGTGAGTCGGCGTATGATGAGTGAGTCAGCGTATGATGAGTGAGTGTATGAGTGAATTAGTGTATGATGAGTGAATGGGTCAGTGGTTGTGTGTGTGAGTGAATGATGTGAGTGAGTCAGTGTATGATGTGTGAGTGAGTCAGTGAAAGATGAGTAAGCGTATCACGGGATCCTCCACGCCATCATGGCCTCCTCCCCTCCATCACGGTACGCTAAACATTTCGAACAGACATACATATTCACAAATTTGCCTTTTATATATAAGATAGAGTCAGCATGTACTACTGTAGTGTAAGCAGGTACCACCACAGTAGGTATCCACTGCTGTAATCATAGCAGGTACCACCACAATATGCACTGCTGTAATCATAGCAGGTACCACCACAGCAGTATGCACTGCTGTAATCATAGCAGGTACCACCACAATATGCACTGCTGTAATAGCAGGTACCACCACAACAGTATGTACTCCTGTAATCATAGCATACCACCACAGTCAGTATGCACTGCTGTAATCATAGCAGGTACCACCACAGTCAGTATGCACTGCTGTAATCATAGCAGGTACCATCACAGTCAGTATGCACTGCTGTAGTCATAGCAAGTACCATCACAGCCATTATGCACTGCTGTAGTGATAGTAGATACTGCTATCGAGTTGGTAGATACTGAAACCGTCAGTATATATCACTACAGTCAGTTAATACTGCTACAGTCAGTAAATACTACGATACACTCAGTAGATACTACAGTCATACCTCGGTATACACCCGCTTTGGAATACGTCGTGTTTTGACGAGAAAAAAATGTCCTGGGATACGACGTCTAGCTTGAGATACGACGCGCTTGCTAGAACTTGTATGGGTCACCGCGTACAGTACCCACGTATACTCCACCCCCAATAAAGCTCGAACAAGCCGTAACAGTATTGTGTGGAATGACCAGACAATGTCACACTTCAGGAACATTCTTAGAAGAAGGCAAAACAAACTTCAATGGACAGGTTTTTAGTAAAACTCAAACCTGGTGAGCCTCAACCAGGTCCAAGTCAAGATAAAAGACAGAAAAGAAAAAGAGAAAAACCCTCAGAATTTCAGCTTCCTGAAGTTTTCATGGAAGGG